CTATCGGCTCGGAGTGGTGCCCGCTCTGCCTTCCTTGCTACTTCATAGCTGTAATTTTGCTATGGTTATGAAACGGGTGACCCCTGTGAAAGAGTTGACACTGCCCCCCCCAAGGGGTTGTGACCCACAGGTTGAGAACCGCTGTCCTAAGGCATTTCCTCCCCCCGCCCCCCCCAAAAAAAATTTTTAACAGGGTTCATGCCTTAGACACCAGTAGATAGATGCGTTCTTGAAGTTTTCATAAATGCAAGGTAATATATCCCTCCGGGTGCCTTGATTTCTGGTTAAGGGGTACAAGGGGATTTTGCGGTGTTGCATCTGATTTCTTATAAGCAGCTGTGGCTTGGGTGCCGGCCTCCTCACCCCAGCTACTGGGCTTTATCCAGCTCCCAGAAAAGCTTTGTATGGTGCTGGTTGGTTTCCTAGGTCCTTCTCTTGTTTTTGTTAACATCTCACACCTAGGCACAAGAGTTTTAAAGTTAGACTGTAGACACAGTCACAGTCAGTCTTTGGGGAGTTCTGGTGTGGCGTACTGGGTTAGGCACGGCTGCTGACCACAAGGTCAGCAGTCAGAAACCGCCAGCCACTCCACAGGAGACAGTTGAGGCTGTTTGGCTCTTGGGCCCCCAGGGCAGTTGTGCCCCGTCCTGCAGGGCGGCCGGGAGCGGGACGTCTCTAGCCCCAGCTTCCCTAGACGGTGTCAGGTGCTGATTGTCACCGGGTCGCTTCCTTTACCAGAAGAGGTCAAGAAGTTATGTGCCACCCAGTTCAACAACATCTTCTTCTTGGACTGACTGAGTCGAAAGACCTTCATGGAAACGGCTCGGCCATTATCCATCAGGAGTCAGACCGGCAGCAACAGTCACAGCAATACCTGCTTAGAAGATTCCGATTTCTACTCCCGGCTCGAAATGGAGGCTGCCGCAGATTTTTACATTTTAGATATTTATGTGGCATCAACTCAAGGTAGTCTGCACCCTCTCTCACCATTCCATCCTTTTGACACTCTGAATATTTTACAGGAAAATACGGTAAATAAATTGCTGAAGTTTTTAAAATCCTGGCTTTGCATGTCATCCGTTTCCCACTGCTGCCTGGGGCTGCACCACAGGTGGTCCCGGGCCCTCACCACGAAATGTCTCATAGTGGGGACCCCGCTCCCTGTCACTAGACCTGAAGCGGTGAAGAAAAGGACACTAGCCAAAGTAATTTACTCATTCCCAGCTGTGGAAAATTCCTGTGGGAGGAGTTCATTTTTCTACAAAAGGGAATAGGTTGTTCC